CACAGGTGGTGCTTCAGAGGGCAGACCCCCTGCAGCAAGGGGCTGGGCTTGACGCGCGCTCCTGTACTCGTCCCCACGCCAGCAGCATCTCTCATGTCCCACAGACCAACAGGCTAGATTCTTCCAGTTGGTGTCAGGATGCAGTTTCCAATTTATCTCTTTGCTTTGGAACATCAATAAATTTTATGGCTAAATCTGGTTTCCATCTCCTCTGTAGCAACAAGTGTCTTCAAAAAAACACATTAGAACCAACACATATTTTTGCTATCTTTGGACATTTTCCTAGACCTCTGAAGGTTCCAAGCTTTTCAAGGCTGCAGACAGTGCTGTGCTGTTTAGAATTCTGTGATCAGTAAGCTTCGTGTGTAATTAATGATGCCAAGTGTATGACAGTGAACAGGCAGAGCGCAGCCCCACATCCAGCCCAGCCCAGCTCCTCTCCTGGGGTGGGATGGGGAGCATGGCCTCGGCTTTGGGGAAAAGACGGATGATGGTTTAGGACCACTGGGTGGAGGGGCGCACTGCCATCCCAGGTTGCTACCTCACGGCCATGGTGAAAGGCTTAGGTTGACACCAGGTGAAGGAGAGGAAACCAAGCCCAGTAGTATTTCATTTCAAACAGGGAATCCAAGAATTCTCACTTGATTTAATGTCAAACCGGACAGCACATCAAAACAATGCCTACGAAAAGGAGAAAAAAACCAGGAGACTGAGCAGCGAAGGACCTGTCCAGACCCAGCTGCCTCATGCTCCTTTTTTCTAAACAGAACCAAGTTAAAGGCAGACAAACTTGACCAAATTGTGTCTTTTCCATCTGATGTTGAGCATTATCCCGATAACTAATGCCAGCGTTTCAGCTCTAACGTTTCTGCAGATAAAGACCATCACCATCCGACAGACAGGAAAGTAAAAGCCATTAACACAGCGGCCCACAGCATGTTTAAAAATATAGACTGAATTGAGCTTTCCTCCTACTTTGGATCTGGGGAGATGGAAGACTCCCATAGGGTCAAAACCTGCTGACCATATCACAGCCCATCCTGGGGGACGTGAGCCCACTCAGCAGGAAAGACCCCCTGAAGACAAGGTTTCCTCTCCATTCCTTACACATGGAGACCTCATTGTGTCTCCTGCTCCCCGGGAAGGAAGGGCTGTGTGGGCTCAACAGCGCCACTCTTGAATCCATCAACCCAGGGCCTGGCTCGGAACCCGTTCCCATGAGGCCAGAGCCACTTCCCGAGCCTGAGGACAGGATGGGGTCCTGCTTTTGGCGCTCTGGTCCCCCAAGACACTGCCTGTTTAATGTCCAGGGATTGTAGCTGAAGGGATGCGTGAGCTAACCGGAGACCTCGGCCCCGCCAGCTGTCTTCTTATATAAATACATACGTGTAATACTAAACACGTCTTGTCACAGCCTCACTGGCTGACAACAGCCACTACTAGTCAGAGCAGCCAGCAGGGACACCAGGAGGAAGGGAATGTCTAGTGTGGCCATGAGAAAGAAAAAGCTTAGAAGAGCTGCCATCAGAATGACCGATGCTGGCACTCAGAACGGGAGGGACCGGAAGGGCCCTGAGCAAGACAGAAGGACATTGTCCCAGAAGATGAGAACAGAAAGAGCTTCTCCAGCCCCGGTCCCAGCCCCACGGTGCCAGACGTGGCACAGGCAGGGACTGCCTGCACGCTGGGGCCTTGAGCTGCCTACGTGGTGCTGGAGGACAGCCTGGCTGTGGCTGAGGCCAAGGTCAGCCCAAGGAGGCAGCAGGGGAGACGCAGGACCTGGATCACAGCCCTGGTGCTGCCATGTGCACTGGGGAGCTGGAGGGTGAGGAAAGGACGGGCGCCCCCAACTCTCTCAGCCCGTGAGGGACACTGCCCCGAGCCTCTGGGACCAAAACCTAAGGTCATCTGTTATATTTTAGGCAGGAGGAAGGATACCCTAAATTGTGTGGCAGAAACTAGAACTTTCATTTTTAAAAAAATCAGCTTCCTGAGGCTTTGACCCGAAGCAGATCCTGGGGGAGAGGTCCCCTCTCTGAGTGTCTGAGAGTCCTTGACAATATTCAGTTCTAACAAAGAAGTCCGACTGGTCTTCCCACCACCCTCTCCTGACTTCCAGCAATCCCTTTCTACCCTTCACTGGGAAGACGAGGCCCCATCACACCCAGTGGGTTCCATCCTGAGATCATGTTCTCAGATCTGTAACCGCGCAACCTTCTCTTCTAGTCGCTCTACTCGGCTCCATGTCTGAACCACTAAGCCAACATTTCCCGTGGTGCCTTCTCTTTCCTGTGGGACAAGTTTCCATTTCCAAAGGGAGAGAGAGGTTTCATGTCCACCTCCTGTTTAAATCACTTTTATTCCTTGCTTTCTTACATTGCTTTTGATGATATAATAGAAATAAAAAAGGGTGACTAAGGAAAAAATAACAACGTAATGAAGGAAACTGACTGAATTATAATGGCCTCTGAAAATGACGGCCTGGGGACTCTGAGAAACAGCGCTCTAACACGCTCTCATACCCGCACTGCCAGGAAGTCAGGGTTCACCTGACAGGGCAAGACCACGCAGCCACATCCCCGAGGAGGGCACTGGGGCCGCACGTGAGCAAGGACATGTAAAGAATGGGCACAGTCTCCAGCGTCTTTGCCTTTTAATATAAGATCTGTTTTCATCATTTCTGAGTGTAACATATTTCTTCTAAAAATAGAGCTCTTTGCTTGTTTTGAAACTTCTTAACTTTCACTTGGAGGTGAAGGGGGATAAGGCTGGCTGTAATTCTGGGGTGACGTTGCCAATGTTTTCTAGTCATGAACAAACTTTTCAGGAGATTCTGGATGCTCGCAGCAGGAGAGGTCGTTACAAATCCATGGTACTGGAGACTTGTGCAAAACTTTCTGAGTCCCCATCTGTGCCTTGGGGACCTCCTCCCCGAATACGTTACTGACCAGAGGTAATGAATCACAGCTCACCCAGGACCGGGTGGCAGTGGCCCTCCCCCAGGAGCTATGGACAGAGGGACCCTGCCCACATCGACCAGAAGACAACAGGGTGCCCCTCTGGCACGCTGGTTAGGAACGTAGGTGCACAGACACACAGACATAGGGACGCAGGGCTGAGGGTGTGACACTCGCGCCCTGGGCCAACGCAGACCTGGGTTTAATAGCATGGAACTTGCTGGGGTTTTCTCACAATACAGACTGAGGCAGAATCGCCCCTGCCCCCAAGGAAGAGCCCGGTTAGCTCCTGAACCCAAAGATGCCCTTGATGTATCCGGTGAGGCCGCTCTTGGTCTTCTGCTCCAACTTGTCCTCCAGGGGTGGGAAGGCCACGTGGTTGAGGGCCAGGTCAAAGAACAAAGGCTTGCAAGGGACGGGCTGGAATCCGGGTGGGAAGTGCACAAGGCTGGCTTGCTTGGTGACGAGGGAAGGGTCCAGGCAGAATGTCTCAAACCGTTCAACCAGAGGCTACAAGTCAAACCAAAGGGAGGAAGCCGGGCGTTAACAGCAGACGGACGGTGGGACCCTCGCTGTTTATGCAAGTTCAGGGCCTGCATGCACCGCACGCGATCCCCACAACTCCTGAGGGGTGCTCTCATGTTATAGGTGAGAGAGGTTAAGAAAAAGGTGGGCTGGAATTGGGGTACAGGCCAGCCAGGTGTGCGACTCTGCACAGCAGCAGGTTCCTAACCTGCTTATCTGGGACCATCTAGATGACACCGAGCAAACATTATGCAGCGTGCACGCTTTGGGTGGTAAAAGGGAGGGATGTAGGGTGTTTCCTTAGCAATGAAGGGTCCTCTGTCCTACCAATGAGTACATATTCCTAGCAAGTTCTGAATCCGACTCTTTATTCCTCCGAAGCCACAGCCTTACCTTATTGTCCTTGACGTGGGAGGAAGTCTCTGTTTGGTGGAAGTCACTTGCATCTGAAAGTTTCACAGGCATTCAGTAAGGACAGGGACTTAGCACACTCTAGTCACAAATGACACCTATCACACGTGGGCTCTAAATGCCAAGGCAAGGGGGCCAGCCTGTGGGCGAGTGAACCCTCCCCCTCCGGGGCCCAAACTGCCAAGAAGCCGCGCAGGGCCATACACGGTAACCCCGGAGCCAGTGCTGTCAGCCAGTGAAGTTGGCAGGGATATGATTAGGGACAAGGGACATTGTAACAGTTTCTCTAAATTCTTCCACACAATCAGATGCCTAAATGTGGCAGAAGGAACGATGGGGAAAAATAAAAATCTTACAGAATAACCAAAACAACCCCTTCCAATCTTAAAGCAGTAGTATAGGGGGCAAAAGACAAGAGGGGGGATAGCAGAGGGGACACCTGGAGACACAGGGGCTCACCCAGGATCGCCGCCGCCTGCAGGGAGCACTTTTCTGACCTCACTTGTGCGATGAGCTCTTGCACGTCAGGCAGGTCCTGTAACCATTTGGAAAACGTGCACTCATGAGCCGGGTGGTCAAAGCAGCACATCAAACTAATCTAAGCTATCCCACTGGTGTTTTCATGGGATTTTAGACTTTTTGAACAGTTTTCCCTATTAAAAAAACATTAGTCTGATTCAAACGGGAAAAGCTAAGCCATGGCTTAAGTAATGATGCCTGGAAATAATGAGAATAATAACATTAATAAATTTATCATAACAACGCCAGGCGTTGTTCTAAGCAATTTACATAATTGCTAATTCCACCCTCACGATGACCCTGAGGTTTGTACCCATTTCACAGATAACACTGAAGCACAGAGAGGCCAGACCATGAGCCCAGGCACGCCCCCAGGGGCTGCGAAGCTGGGATCCAGAACCAGGCTGCCCAGCTCCAGTGCGAGGCCATTCTCCTGCCTCCGTCTCTTACTGGCGGAATTCAGAGTGACCTGATGAGGTCTGAGGACGGCCCGCTCCCTCCCGCCTCTATTCCCGACACCCCTTCCAAACCCATCAGCACATTAGGTAGGATGGACATTCGTAAAGCGTCTCTTCTCTCCTGAGAAACCATCACACTGGTTTCCTCCACATCCCAGTGACACCCCACCATGATGCTGCTGTCACCCAGGTCACTCCTCCCCCTGTCCACACCTCTACTCCTTCCCATTCACAGGTGTGGCTGCGACAGATCTCTGAAGGCAGAAGCCAGGTTGTGCTGTTCTGAGCAAGCCAATGGCCAGAGTCCTAGGAGCGGCCGCCCTCACACCAGCTTCTGACAATGTAACAGTTTGTGATCATAAACCATAGTTGGCTTTTCTAAACAGTCTCCACTCGTAAGAAAGACATGGATTCTTGGGCCAGCCAGTGCTTTACGAAGCTTTGCTTCACCACAGCAGTCCACAAGCTTAAAAAAGCCAGCTGTCACTCAACAGTCAGTGAAATCAACTCAAGCCCCCAGTCCTTCAGATCAGCATGCGAGCTTTGATGTGCACCTGGACTGCCCGGGGGCTTGCTACCATGCAGATGTCCACTCAGCAGGCGTGGCACTTTTTTCTTTCTTTCTTTTTTTTTCAATTGGGGACAGCCATGGTCATTGGTTACACATGGCTTTCATGCTACAATGGCACAGTTGACTCTGTTAAGGAGGGCACAGCTCACATGGCCCATGCAGGGATCGAACCGGCAACCTCGGTGTTATGAGCACCACACTCTAGCCAACTGAGCTAACCGGCCCCCCAGGCCTGGCACTTCTAGAAACTCCCAAAGGCCGCTGCTGGTCTGGGCACTTTGGGTGGAAAGGCTTCGTCACTGGCTCTCAACCTGGCTGCACGTCAGAATCAATGGGGGATTTAAAAACCCCAGTGTCCACCCCAGACCCCACATGAGTAAGAACCAGAATCTCGGTGGGGGTGGGGCACCCACACATCCATCTTTTGAAAACTCTCCCAGGTGACTCCATCATGCAGCCGAGTGTGAAATCGCACTTCAGGACGACCTGAACCAGAGGAACGGCTTTCCTTCTTCATCCCTGAGTTCTCCTCAGGCCTGGATGGCTGCCAGGAGTCACACAGTCTGCAGCTCTCGGGCCCTCAGGACACACCATGGCCCATGGCTTACCCGGCAGGACCAGCCTGAGAAGGAGAGGTGGCCCCTCCGACGCCTCCCGCACGTCTCCTCGCTCGGAAGCAAGGAGAGGCCAACGGCTCACCTTCAGGCTGTTCTTGAAGGCCCCCGCATCCGAATTCACTTCATTGGCATATTTGAGGACTCTGTCATATAGGACGAGGGCTTCACTCCACTTCTTCACCAACACGTAGGACTGAGCAATGAAAAAACACCTGATGGGGAAGGGAAAAGGGCCACAGAATTCTGAAGCAACAATTACCCAAGGGCAAGGTGTTCCTTGCAGTTTAGGCGCAATTTTAAATTTGGAAACAGGTTTCTTAACCGTGGATGACAGCATGGGAGACCCCAGCGTTCTCAGTGCCCTTGCCAGGCTGACCTCAGATTCTCCGCTATCGGAGGTGACAGAAGGTCCACCGCTGACCCACTGTCTTTTACTGACTGGCTGACTCTGCACAGAAGTTCCCCAAAGGCACATGGAGGCAACTGGGGATGGGCAGAAAGGAGGAATGGCGCCGGGCTCATCTGTAAATCCCACCCAGCACTGCCCACACATCGGAGTCACAGTCGTTCACCTCTGCCCATCTCTTTTCCAAAAACCAAATCCAAGAAACCTCATCCTAATGGAAACCAGTCCATTGGCATGAACAGAGCCTGGGGGTCACCGGCCCAATAGGACAGAAGGGTCCACAGGGGCCGGGAGGCCGGGCAACATGGGTGAAGCCGGGCACCCTGAAGCTGGGGTGTGAGTGCCAGAAAAAGAAGGGCAGTCATACACACAGCTCCACTGTGCCGCTCTGTCCAGACCCCGTTTTGACACACAGCCCACTTCTAAGTTACAAATAATGTGAGTCGTTTAAAAACAGGTTTGCTTTCTCCCAATTCAGTTCAGGTTCCGCTCTGGCTCTGCTAACACCTTTTCCAACACTTGTCTGTTTTCCACTGGGAGGAAGGAGCGAAGTGGAGGGAGAAGACATTTAACACAGGCGCTCTCTGGCTCCCCCGACCTCTCCAAGAACCAACAAGGGACACGGGGAAGCTCTCAGCCACAACCTGAGATTTCCTTCCCTCAGACACGCTGGGCTGGCGGTTCTGTGCTCAAGGGCACGGTAACCAGGCAGCCAGCAACCCATCTTCTGGGGGACGGATGTGCTCCCAAGGCTTCAGGAACCACCAGGTGGCAGGAGAGCCGCCCCCCCGGGCCCCCCACGAGGCCATACCTGTACGCCTTGTACACCAGGGTCTTGAGGCCTATCTCTTTCTGGAAGGCTCTGTCCTCCTCTAAGCCAGGAAGCTGGAGCAATTCCACCAGATTCTGCACAACGGATGCAAAAAGAAAACTCATGAAGAGGAGGCCTCAGGCTGAGTTTTTGACAGAAGACTTTGTAAGAACAGACAAGGATGAAAAGAAAGAACCTGGGCTGGAAATAATAGGGGAAAATTCTGGGACAAGTGACCTGGCAGCGGCCATACCTGGTGTCCCCTCCACTCTCCTCTCTGAATCTGCAAGCTGCCCTGTCCTTTCCCACTCAGCTCACGCCTCGCTTCCTGCAGAGGCTTCTCAGAGCAGCCCAGCCAGCGGGGGCCTGTCCGGCTCTGCACTTTCTTTTGACCCCCACTTGTCCAGTATCTACAGATGCTGTGTCGGCATGTGTGCGTCGCACAACTTTGTTCACTGGCCAACTCCCAGTGGACCGAGACAGCATGGCCTTGGCGTCCGGATGCTCCCCAGCAGTGGGAGTGTCACAAGCAGGCCAAGTGCTCAGTGAAAACCTATGGGCTCACGCGTCTGCACATCGACACGTCTGAGTGTCGGGGGCACAGGCGGCTGAAGTGGTCCAAGGACAGGACACCAACAGCTCCTGGCTGTCACAGCCCTTCCGCTATGCAAGGCCAAGTCACTATGTGTCCCGCATGTGCGAAGGCCAGGCCCTTGCTTCCCCAGTCGCCGGGTGTCACCTGCAGAATGATGTCATAGAGCCGGATCAGGTCCTGGGGCCGCGGGGAGCGCTTGCTGTCATCTTCCGGCTGCTGCTGCAGCAGTGCCCTCTGCAGACCTTGAGCCATGTTCTCATTCCGCTTGATGGCCGTCGACAGCTTAATGTAAGTCAGGTAGCTGGAATGTACCACGTATCAGCTCAGGGTTAGGCTCAGGGAATGGTGTTCTGAGAAGAGCACTGGACTACAAGTAGGGACTGACCCAGGGGAAACGTGCTAGTGAGGGCGTGTCACACAGCACAGTCATTCAGCCTGGTCCTCAAGCTCAAGGGACCATCAATTCTGGCTGCTTTTCAGTGACAAATTTGTAGGGGACCAGTATGAGACCTTATGACAAAATTTAATTCTTTGAAAAAAAAATTAATTCTAGCTTGAATAATAGCCTCTGTTTCTTTTTTATAAGAACCACTGAGCTACTAATCCCTGAGGTAGTCCTTAAGACGGGTAAAACTAATTCCTGGAACACGGACTAGTTAACTGTCTGGCTCAGACTAAGAGGACAACGTGCTCGCACCACAGCTGCTCAAACTCATCTGATGACCTTCTCTTTCCAGGAAATAGTGAGGGGCAGTCTCTTTGGATGTTTATGAATATTAGCCATGTGTATATATTGGAGATAACACATGGCCGCATGGTACCTGCTTGTTTGAACTGTATCACCAGGCAAGTCTCCAATATTTGGGGATAAAAACAGAACTATTCTAAAAATCTACCGAAGAACACTTTAGGCCTCCAGACCCCCATTCTCCTGTGGCAGGAGCCTGGAGACGGGGACACAGGCCCAGCTGAGGTCAGGGATCCCTAATGAACCAGGGGGATAAAGGACTGTCATGTTCTGAGTGCTGACCTCCTAGCCTTCTTCTCCTACTCAGCTTCCAGAACAAGAGCAGCCTGGTGTATTCCGGGGGTCTGACAAGCCCAAGAAAAACCCGTCAAGATTCTGGACTTGGGGTCCTTGGTGGAAGGGCAGAGCCAGAACACGTAGAGTGAGGCCCACAGCCGACGAGCCCCGCCATGTGTGCTGAGCCACGAGACAAGCCACATGCTTTACAGGAGGGGATGAGTAAGGATCACCAGTCATTCAGGGAAAACCTCTAACAACACAGAACAGGCCAACAGTAAGAGGGGGAAAAGCAACTTGGAAGAGCCAGACTTTGCAGGGAGATGAAAACTTCAGGACACTATTATTAATAACCCCAGAAAGATAAGGGAAGACTTTGTGATCGTGAAATTAGAACAAGAAACTATATTTTAAAAATAATATTCAGAGAACACAAACAAGCGCTTAGAAACTGAAATGGTAGCAGAAATGAGAAAGCCCACCTAAGAGTCGGATGGGAACTCAGCAGGGTCAGGTGGAGTGGAGTGGAGCAGGTTAAGAGTTGGCTATCGTGGAAATGGTGCAAAATGCCTAAACCCCTCAAATCAAGAAGCAGCAACACACGGGGGAAAAAAAAAACGCAGCAGCAACACACGTCATTTAGAGACATGGAGATAAATACCAAAAAAATCTGGTAAAAGAATTAAAAGTGGATGCTTCTGAGACATGAGAGAGGAGGTTATGAAGCAGGTTTTCTTAAAGCTCTGAAGAAAAATCCGACTCTCCAAACAAAGTAGCTGTTTTCACAAAGCAGTGCAGGAATTCAGATGCATCCTTACACTGCTTTGTAAAACCACAAGAGCTGCCTGACTCCTGATTCATCAGGGGGGGTCTGCCGATCCTGCTACTCATCAGGCCTGCAGGTGGGAGAAGAGATCTGTGGGCAGGGGGCTTCCCAGTCTGAAAGTTCTGAGCCTGCTGAAGGTCCCAGGGCCTCTTCAAGGCTAGGAAGTTGGATCTTCCATCAACTCCTGACCGACTCTCTGTGCCTGTTAACTGCAAACACGTCCCTTAACCTCCTGGAGCCTTATCTTTCTCACAGGGTTGTTGAAATACAGGACACCGAAGGGCCGTGCTTGCTCAACAGTCCATCCATCTGAGTTATCTGGCGGTCAATTTGACATTCACATAAGACCAAATTCCGTAAGAATGGAGATTAAGGTAAAGAAAAGGGGGGGGGGGGGGAGAGAGAGAATGTGTGTGTGTATGTGAGATTTTGTTTTTATAAAAAAGGAGGGAGCAGGGGGATGGCTGAAAATATTGCCAGGTTCACTAAAAAGTTATAAGAAGTGGCTAAGACATTAACATTTCAAGGTCACATGGAGAAGAGAATCTGATGAGAAGTGGAGTTTCCCAACTAATTTTATTTCTCCCCAGGAAGTTTCAAAAATGTCACCCTTCCTTTCTCCCTTCTGTGAAACATATGATACACTTTTTTTTAAAAAAATTAAACTTGACAAGGTGCTTTAGGAATGTCTGTGAGAGAGCAAAGGGACAGAAGCAGGTGTGATATGCCTGGGGAAAAACCTGGAGAGGAACTTGTTCTACCAGATGCCAAGACTTCTTACAAAATATATATTATATATTAAATTACACGTTAAAACACACACAAACATTATATATACTCTTGATGTATTTCACAGTATTTAAAAAGTAAAAAAAACCCAACCCTTACCTGTGCAGGTACTGAAGATTGGACACCTTCCCCAACTCCCCTTCAAGGGTATAATCTCTCTGTTTCTGCAAACAGTGAGAAACGTAAAGATCAACAGCTGACTCTGCCCTTGGCTCTGATTGCCCCACTCAGCCGTGTAGCCCCAGGTACCCTGGAAGAGGTCCTCAAGTATCAAAGATCTCCTGGACACATTCTAGAAAAGCAGGGTCACTCAGCTGCCACTGGCATCTAAACTCTGAACTTGAGTCCAAGGATTCAGAGTAATGGCCAGTAAGGCTTCCTGCTCGCTGCTCCCAGGGGCCAGACCCGAAGCATTAACAGCAGGCATTCCACAGTCCATTTCAGGGTCTGTGCCTTCAATCCGTGTTGGACCCTGTGTGTTCTCAGCTCCTGCCTTTTGTGGTTGGCTGAACAACAGCCCCCCCAAAGATGTTCACATCTGAACCCCGGAACCGTGAAGCTGCTCTCTGACATGATAAAGAGACCTTGCAGATGTGATGAAGTTAAGGACCTTCTGATTAGCCTCGATTGCCCAGATAGATGCACTGTAACCACAGGCTCCTTGCAGAGAGAGGCAGGAGAGTCAGTGACATAGAGAAGATGCTGAGACTGAAGCAGAGGTCAGAGAGGAGGTGCCACGCTGCCAGCTTTGAGGATGGGGCAAGGCGCCATGAGCCAAGAAACAAAGGTGGCTTCTAGAAGCCAGAAAATGCACTCGCTGGAATACGAGCAATGAGTTCTCCCCCAGGTTCCCCTCGAGCTTCCAAAAGGAATGCAGCCCTGAGAACCCATTTAGACTTCCAACCTCCAGAGCTGTTATGATAATAATCTATGTTGTTTAAAGTCACTAAGTCTGTGGTAATGTTACAGCAGCCACAGGAAACGGATATGCCCTGGTATCACCATATTCCTTATATTCTGTGAGATGCCCCCCAACTGCTATGAATTCCAGGTGAATGGTGGAGGCTGGGCTCGGTATGTACCTATTAAGTGGGTGAAGGAAAGTGTAACACACAAAGGCAGCTGCATGGGAGAAGGAGACAGGTGACTACAGCCTAACAAATATTTATTGAACATTTTATACCCAAGATGCTATGGCTGGCAGGTGCTGAAGAAAATATATCGTTGCTTTTAAGATGCTTATAATCTTGAGCAAAATACAACAAAATGGCAAATATAAAACAATACACAGAATGTTAAAAGGCAATCTTGATTAACCATCACACAGAAAGTTTGGCTGCAGGTATGAGATATTTAGAAAATGGAAAGATCTTTATGGGAGGACGGTGTTGGAGGCGTCTCAGCAATGGTGGGCTATGAGTTGCCGGACCTTACAAAACAGGTGGGGTGTGGCCTGGTGGAAAGGGACAGCAAGGACAGGCCAGGTGTGAGGGGAAGGGGCAGAGCATCAGGAACGCCGAGCGGGAAAGGCACGCTAAGAAGATGGGAAGTCCAGCAGCTCAAGGCAGAGGACTCAAAGGGAAGGAGCAAAGGACAGGCTGGAAAGAGCGGCTGGAAACAGGCGGGGGAAACTCGTTCACCAGTTCAAGGAGTTGGAACTGCATCGGCTAGACCAGTGGTCTCTGAAGTAGAGTGCACGTAACCCAAAGAGTGTGGGTCTAGGAGAGAACTAGAACTTGTGTTTATATTTATCTCATTTCTAAAAACTTTATTTTAATGCATTTTATATATGACAAATCAGTTGGATAACACAGTATATAATTTACAAATAAACACATCAAAGGTAAATGCTCAGTTTTGCTTATGGGGGTGCATGACCATAGAAGTGTGGAGACCACGGTTCTGGACCCGGGGGAATCAGACAGTGAGAAGGGGCCTCGTGCTTCCGGCAGACAGGCCTAGGGAACTGAACCAAGGCCAAGGCAGGAAAAGCACTCAGGAGACACGTAGTCCAGGAGGCGTCAGGTAAGTGGCTTGTTAGAACCGGGTGGAACGGACAAGCAGTGAGGGAAATTTCACAGGGAGAGTAAGGAGGGCTTTTGGTGAAAGGAAGAGGCGGAAATGGTTCTGAGGTCTTTGTCCCAGACGCCTGAGTGAGTCACAGTGATGTTATTAGAAAAGGGAGCACTGGAGACATCTACCTAGAGAGATGAATTTGTGACCAAAGGCTTATAGGTAATGCAGGGACCCACTAGGAGAAGAATTTCTCAACCTGAGGGAGCCGAGGCTTTTGTTGTTAGCTGAACACCACACCTAAGAAAAAACCAGTGGCTAGGAGTCGATGCACTCAGGCCACTGGACCCCACCTGGGAATGACACACAGACTGAGGGGGACCTCAGCCCTGAGCAAGAGCCGGCGGCTCAGCTGATGGTCTCACCTGGTCTGGCTTGAGCTCTTCCCGAACAGCCTGGATGGCGTCCCGACACTCGCTGAGCATGGATTCAAACAGACGCTCCTTGGTTTCTTCACTTTCAGCCTAAACAAACAAAGGCAGGATGCAGTAAAAGATTGTCTTTTGAGTAAGCCATGGTATTCTGACAGGAAGAGGGCATAACAGCTTCTCCTCATTACACACCCTACCAAAAAAATGCCCCAAATCAGACATCATTCCATTTATTACTATTCTCTACTACATGAGATTTTCCTGATAGTCTTATTATTTGTATGGAAATGGGAATTGTACATGTATCTAAATAAAGTGAACGTGCTGGAAAAGTATCTGTAGAACTGCCTGAAACTGTCAGGCAATAGATGTTTCGAATTGTTTTCCTATCATAGAACTTTCTACCACTTCCCTCCAATGCTTGCTTCTACCTCTGCTTAGGATCTGCGCCTGGCACCCCCAGAGGGCCTTACAGACTAGATTGGGACACTGCTACGTCACACTGAAGCACAGCACACCAGAAGTTTCTTTTCCTTTCTCCCTGCAGAACAAGCTGTCTGAAACGTGGCTGTGTGCCCGCAGAATCACCCTCACAAATGTAACCCACACATGCGCAGATACTGGGTTTCCGTCAGGTCCCAGCAAGTGGGTAACATCGCTAATCAACAGCCAGCTAGAAACACATTTCTCCTAAATATCACGCGAGGCTCTCTTCACCACAGGAATTCTGCACTCAGGTATTCCACATGGCCCCACTGAGAACATTCTTCGGGCACACAAGGCTGACACGCAGTCAGTGACAGTCTTGGCACAAGTACAGGGCGTCACCCCTGTTAGCCAGATGGGAGAAGGGAAAGGTGGTGATTCATGAACTGAATACCTGCCATACCACATTATCGTTCTCAAGAATCCGACTGAGCAGGTGGAAATAGACGAAAGGCAGAAAGGAGATGAACTTGTGTTACTGGCAGACCCACTGGGACACGAAAACATCAACATTCCATTATTATATTTGACTTTCCACAGAAACGAACATCCAATCTGATCTCTTGACATTCAACTGACCTCTAAGAAAGCCCAAAAGAAAACCCAGGATTGCCCACTCTTTTAAGAGATGGTTGGTAGGGGTTTAAAGAAAGATCTTTTTTCTCTTAAGAACCCTTCAGTTTCTCCTCGTTTTCAGTGTGGAAAAAAAACTTCCTTGTGAATTACCCAACATAAATCAAACATACTTTTCTATTTATAAGTCACTTGACTTTCCTGTTCTTCCCTAACTTAGGAACAAATCAGGGGCACAGTCCTATAAATCTATAAAGACAAACAGGGCCACCATTAACTCACTGAATCCCAGAGCAGCCTGGTCAGTGGAACTTTCTGCGATACCTGCACAGTCTGACACAGCAGTTGGTAGCTACACGTGGCTACTGAGCACCTGACATTTTCATTTAAATTTAGCCATATGGGTTTGAGTGGCTACTGTACTGGACAGCACAGCCCTACGGAGACACACTTCACACAAAGCACCGTTAAGCACCTCACCGTGGCAAGATTCTTTATAATCATTTAACCAAATCTGCTGGCCAATTTTACAAAGGACCAATCCTGTGCAACGGCCCACTGTATCATAGTTTAACAACTGGAAAAGGTATGTGAACAGACCTGGTACACACACACACACACACCCTGGAGCGCTGTTGTCAGCAGGCAGGCTGAACTCCCACACCAGTTCTCATCCTATGCAATCCAGCAAATATGCCACCAACACCCTTTTTAAGATGGGTGGGGTTCGGCGGTTGGGGCAATGGGTGTATAAGTAAGAAAAGGGTAAACTTCCGTTTTACCACCTAACACAGGATCTGTCTCCTTTCGTGTAGGGAGGGCACGGCTCAAATAAGAAAATTAAAACACTGCTAAAACCTCTTTATGGCCACATATCACCTTCATTCCCTCTGAATAAGGAAACCTCTGCATCAAGGTGCTGAAAATAAGCAGACTTTCCCACTGCTTCCCACAGAATTCGAAGCTCCACTGGGAATTTTACAGAAGTCTAAAACCACAGTGAAGGAAAAAGCCTATCTGAAGGGAGGATTCCAGTCCGCTGGTTTTCTTAGGATGCCCACACCACAGTGACTCAGAGACCACTAATCTGTGGGCCAGAACTTCTCATGATGCTCCCGGGGCCGGGCGAATGTCTCCACACAGGAAGTCTGACATGTATTTGGCTCCTTACACTCTTATTCTATAAGCCCATGTTGGAGGCTAAGATAATCCTGGAAGGACAACGGAACAGGAAACACCTCCCTGTATGTAGAGGCGGGGTTCGCCGGCATCGGCACGTAGGCCTCCCACGTGTGCCACTGAGCTCCACAAGAAGGCACTCCCAAACACGCGTGGCCAACCCTGCACAGGCCCTGTGGGCTGCCTGGGCCTCCTCCCCAGGTGTGCCCAGGACACAGAGAAACCTTAAGCCCAGAAGGAATGTGTTACTCAGCAGTCCTAACGAATCTATTATACAAAAGATCCATTTTTATTAAACTTCAAACACCCCAGGATGTGCTTTTCCCATCCCAGGAGGTGGCTTGAGGCCACATCTCGAGGCTGACTGGTACAGAGGAAAATCAGCTACTATGTCCTGAGGTAGAGACCCCCTGGTATTCAAAACAGAGTTTCCCAATTGTTTTCACTTGTCTACAGAAGTTGTTGGAAGGTGGTGCAGTGACTAAGAGACAAACGAGGCGAGTCTGACCACATTCTCCACCACACCCACAGGAGAACCAAGGGGATGGGAACCAAGCCTCACCCAGGCCACTGAGGCCTAGGGGAAAAATACGGAAATCTGGTAAAGGGGATACAAGCCTCACTTAAGAATAGATTTCTTAAAAGAGAAGGGTAAATGGTCTCCTTTCCACTCAAACATTAAAACATGAACTGTAAGTTGAGGATAAGAATCATCAAACCTCCAGATATTTTAAACCTGCCCTTCGCTCCCAAAAGAGCTGCCAAACAACATCCTCACAATGCGACCACAGCGACAATTCAGGAGTGACAAAGTATTAATAAAGCAAAACAGAAATAAATTATAAAGCAAGACAATATTAAGAATGCGAAGACTTCCAGCTTGGCTGAAGGGACTAAGGATTTTGCAACTGGATTTTGGCAGCTGATTCCTTCTCAGCTCCAGTGTTTTCAGTTTAATCTGTTATCTCCCTGAATTATTTCTTCCTTCCACGCTTTTCAGTAAACTGCTGTTTCAGTATTTAAAGTCATAAAAACCGGAACAAGCACGCAATAAACTGGGATGACCAAATTCTTGCATTTCAGCTTCTAGAAGGTGGCAAATGCCAGTGTCAGGTGTCAGGAGACACTGAAATGAAGAGCCCTGCATCTCCAAGGCATAGCTCTCGGTTTCCAGGGTAGAGAACTCAGCACAATAACGAGAACTGGCAAGGTGGGTAAGGCCCCTGTTACAGCCAGCTGAGTCATCTGCTAGTGGCACCAAGGGCTTCTTCTTGGGATTAATCTCAAATGGCCAAAGGGTGTTTTCCATATTTAATAAACCATGGTTCATTCACTTCAACAGGCATTTAAACAGCTACAGTGCGGGACCTGGCACCTAAGGATTTAACTCAACTTTCACACTGTACTTAATTATTTTATTTACCAGCTAGATTTGCTATATATGTGTGACAGGAGGCATGAGGCACTAAACTGTTTTCAATGTTCAAACCCTACCAGGATTCCCTGGGGTTAGTACACATTTTGTTTGATCTACATCTTTTAATTCTACTACATTATTTAAAGATCTCTGATACTCAGAAGTGACCCTAAAGCATTATAATTGTTAAAAACCAGACATGACTATATTCAGTGCGAGCTTGTATATTAACCAGGCACATAATAGAAGGTAACACTACAGAGCCTACAAACATTAAAATGACAAAGGAATATTATAAATTTTCTGTCAATTGTCAATAAATTCAACAATTTACATGAAATTAATTCCTTTTAAAAAAATAAAACTCATCCAAACTAACACAAGATGAAATAGAAAATCTGAATAGCCCTATATCTTGTAAAGGAATTATATTTGTTTTTAAAACTTTTAAAAGTCTTCCCACAAATATCAAAGCATTATGTTGTACACCTAAAACTAATATATTAATTATATACCCCCCAAAAAAACAAAACAAAAAAACTTTCCCACAAAGACAACTCCAGTCCCAATAATTTCTCTGGCGCATTATAATAAACATTTAAGAAAAAAAATATACCGACATTACATAAACTCCTTCAGAAAACAGGGAAGGAGGAACATCTCCAAACTTGTTTCACAGAGTGTGAATAATAACCCTGATACCAAACCCTGAAAAAGGCATTGCCAGAAAAGAAAATTATAGGCCTCTATTCCTCACTGAAAACAGATGCAAAATTCTTCAAGTATTAACAAATCAAATCCAGTCATACGTGAAAAGTACAATAGATCATAACCAAGTGGGGTCATCCTAGATATACAAGGTTGGTTTTAACACTGAAAATAAATCAGTGTAATTCACTATGTTAACAGGCTTCAGATCGTCTTCCCTCCTCAGCCTTTATCTTTCCAAACTGAAAGGTCTGAAACTTCCTGAAACCTCATACGGTGCCTTCCTCTCCTTTTGATTCACACACCCTGAAACACGCCATGTATCTTATGGAACAGCATTAAAAATCCACAAATATTCTGACGGTACCCGCACACCCGTTTTCACTGGTACAGGAAAAGCTCGACGTCATGTTTCCTGATGAGCCAGTGGGACCGAGGAGCAGCTACACTTAGCAGAAAAGCCTGCAGTCGCGGGGCAGGAAACCTTGGCCACTGATCCTGACTTACCCTCAACATCAAATCTTGGACCAACCCTCCGTGGACCTGCATGAAACACGTCCAGTGGGAAGGCTCTGACCCTGTGTGCAGACGCACTCGTATGTTTTTAAATTTAGTAACTGAAGCAAAGTAACATACAGAGGAAAATGGGCTTAACTGGAAGCTGGAGAGCTTTAGAAAATGTGATCACAACACAAAAATGCATCATCTGCATTACTGAGCTTTTATATTATTGCAAAGAACTGGTTATTGAAGAATTGTTTTCTTCTTCATATGGACCCTAAAGACCCTAATGAAACATAGCATTTGAAGAAAAAACCCAAACTACCACGTACAGTGAGATTCTTTTGGTCTCCCTCCATCTGACTTTTTGGGGGCAGATGCTTCACAAAAAAACAAAAGCTTTAAAATAAACATCTTCTGCATTCAATCAAGATCAAAAACTCTTAATTGAAATAACTGTTCAATCAGAAAGAGGTCAAATACATATTTTTCAATCTACATGGTATTCTCATCTTAGGACTTATTCTGCAAAATAATCCAAAATATGGAAAAATCTATATAAAGATTCACTCATCATTGTTTAGTGCTGAAAAACTGTATGGAACGCAAACAACCAATAACAGGTGCACTTTGATTAAACAGCATTTTAAAAAGTACACCTGCCAAGCGTGAGCGGCCAGCAGCCGCAGTGAGCGGCCGTCCAGAAGCCAGCGACTGATCTGCCTCGCCCGGGAAGAGCGCAATGATGGTGCCAACTTGG